AGTGCCTGGCACAAAACCTCTTCAATATATCTTTATCTAACTGATTCTTCCAACCCACCAGAACAGAGATGCCCTGTTTGAAAGACAAAGGTGAGTAATGTGACATTGGCTGATACCTCGGTGCTTTCCATGCAAGGACAATTTATTTTCTTCCTAAGTCACTATAAAAGAATAAACGAAGAATGGAGAGACAAATTGATTTGATATAATGATACTCTACATACCATAACTGATGACATTTCCTCAAGAAATCCTTATTAAAAGAAATTATGATCTAGTCTTAAGAGACTGACATGTTTTCTCTTAGAGTAGAAAAAAAAGGTACATCAAATTTAAGCATGATAGTTAAAAAAAGACAAAATAGTAGTTCATCTAGGCAATTTCTTTGAAATAATTTTTGAAACAATTTGATGTAAAATGTAAGTCATATTAAGTAATACAACAAAGTAAGTTTCATTCAGAACCATAAAATGCTCTTGAAATGCTCTTAAAATGCTCACTGAAATATCTTAACACATTTATGAGCTAAAATATATTAGCTGATATTGGACATCAGGAAGAAGTTATTGGAAATGTGTGTTGTGCATAACAGAAAACTCATCAGCTCATAGATATATTTCAATATATTGCTTAAGCCATTACATGTTTAGAGTTAGAAGAGGAAAGAAATTATTCCTAGATGCTAAGCCATATTTTCCCATCTAAGTTTCTTACCTTCTTTCTAAAATAGAAATCAATGGATGTCTTAAAGCTACAAAACACCTTTAGTTCATCCAAGACTCTGCAAAATATATTAAACAGATTAAATTGGGGTGGGCATTTAGCCTACTGGTTAAGATTACTGGGTTTTGGGGCTGGCGCTGTGGCAGAGTGGGTAAAGCCACTGCCTGCAGTGATAGCATCCCATATGGGCACAGGTTCAAGTCCGGCTGGTCTACATCCAATCCAACTCTCTGCTAAAGCCTGTGAAAGCAGCAGAAGATGCCCCAAGTCCTTGGGCCCTTGCAGTCATGTGGGAGACCCAGAAGAAGTTCCTGGCTCCTGGCTTTGGATTGGCACAGCTCCAGCCATTGTGCCCAACTGGGGAGTGAACCAGTGCATGGAAGACCTTTCTCTCTCTCTCTCTCTCTCTCTGCCTTTGCCTCTCCTTCTCTCCCTGTGTAACTCTTTCAAGCAAATAAATAGATCTTAAAAAAGAGTACTGGGGTTTGATACGTGGCTCTGGATCTGGCTCAAGTTTCCTACTAATGCAGACCCTGAGAGGCAACAGTGATGACTCAAGTGACTGTGTTAGTGCCACCCACATGGGAGATCTGGATTGCATTCTCAACTCTGGCTCCAGCCCCACCATACTCCTGCCATTGCAGGTATTTGGAGAATGGTGGGTGGGAGTTGCATGGGGGGGCAAGAAGCAGCTGAGACCTACAGAGGAAATGGATCCCACAAAGCTGCACACAAACTACTGGGATCTCAGCACCTATGCAAGAACTGGAGGTCACTGTAACCAGCCCAGGGGACCGAGGGCTGAACCACTGGTCATGACCATGAGGCCTGGTGTCTCCCAGAGATCGCACACCTGGAATCCAGCACCCCTAGGAGCTCTGTCCTTGTGTGTATTCCTCTGTCATTTGTGTGGCAACATTCTCAAACTGCTAGGGGCTGTGTCTAAGACATCACTGTCATTGGTCCTCTAAGCCCTTCAGTCCATCCAGAACAGGGTCTGTTGTCCTCTGACAGACAATTTCTGCATTGCCAGTTTATTGTTCCATGCAGGAAGCCTTCAGTCAGCCAGATCCTCCCCAGTGTCCCAGGAGGACTGCCTGCTGCTCAACTCTAGTAGCACCCAGGAGGACTAGGACAGGACTGGGCTGGGGGAACCTTCCAGGGGTATCAGTGCTGGTTGAGGCCTGTGGTAGGGCAGCAGATTGTATTCATGGGAGTCCCAGGATCTGGTCATTGCATGGTGGGCACAAAATGGAGGACCTTCAGAAACCAGGGGAGGTATTTGGTTTCTCACTGTGTAGCTTTAATTCACTCTAAGTTCTTCACTGAGAAGCCTGCATGGTCTGTCAGGTGTACTCTTTTCACTGCCAGTCTAAATGCAGACTGGTCATGATGCCCACCAATCTATCAGGTGTGTGTTTGTCATTGAACTTGTGTACCTAATTAGCACTGAGCTCTATCCTCGGTCTGAATTAATTCTTTCATGAAAACAAGAACCTCTGTCTATGGTAACATATTTGCCAGAGCCAGCCTAGAGAGAAGTAGAGCAGCAGTAAGACCTGAGCAGCTTATGCTGAGAAATGCTTCATGTCTATCCCCCTTCTGTCTGCTCCACTGCTGTGTGTACTGCAACCAAATTGCCTTTGCCAACACTTCTTGGAGATAGTGTCTTTTCCAGTTCCTTTTGTTGTTGTTGTTGTTATTTAAATTTTTTTAATTTATATAAATGGAACAAATTTCACGTATCTCATATGTACAGTTTTAAGTACATAATGACACTTTCCATCCCATCCTCCCTCTCTCCCGCACTCCCACCCTTCCTCCTGCTTCCTTTCTTATTTTTCTTTCAATTTTTTGTGATAATATACTTTTTTTCTTAATCTAAGAAGCAGCTAACAAAACAGGCAATGGAGTTGGACGTTTAGGCTTATCTCAAACTTATGAGACATAAGAATATACTCCACCTAACAATAAAACAAAGCTAACAAAAATTCTGTGATGTCACTGTCACTGTGCACCAGCTCTGTGTTCTGGAACAGGCTTGTAGGACACTAGTTTTCCTAGTGACTGACTAGTTGGTTTTTGAGAACAAGTTTTACTCTCATAATATTTACTCACATAACATTAACTCTCACAATACAACTCTTTGAGGACAGAGGTCCTGCTTGGGAAGTTAGTGCACAGTGACTCCTGTTGTTAATTTAACGGTTAATACTCTTATGTATGACGATGTCAGTGATCACTCAAGGCTCTTGACATGAGCAGTCTAGCCTATGGAAGCCTTTTGAATCCACAAACTCCTTCAATATTTAGACAAGGCCATAACCAAAGTGAAATTTCTCTCCTCCCTTCAGAGAAAAGTACGTCCTTTTTTGATGACCACTTCTTTCCACTGGGGTCTCGCCCACAGGAGTCTCTCATGGAGGACACTTTTTGCTACAGTGTCTTGGCTTTCCCTGCCTGCAATGTTCTTGTGGGCTTTTCAGCCAGACCAGGAAGCCTTAAGGGCTGGTTCTGACGTCACAATGCTACTTTAAGCGATTGTATTTCTATGAGTCTGCTGTATTGACAGCTTCACATGTTGGCGCATACACACCTTTTTAGTTCTATTATTATTGCCAAACACTTACTCCTATTTGTATGATCACTTTAACAGTATATGACCACTTTAATGCTTAATCTGATCTCTATGATCACTTTAACACTTAAAATGCTTTTTTACCAACCCGTTTATGGGGATTTGGCAACCCTTGGCAAGTTTTTAAACTGTACACTTAGAAGTAAGTCCACAGAAATGCATGCAGAACTGTAAGTTTTATAGTTATAAGCTTCATATATTTCAGAAGTACAACTTTAGGAGCATAGTGATTCTTCCCTACATACCCACCCTCCCACCCACATACTCAACCCTCGTTCTCCTCCCTCTTTGTTTCCCACTCTTATTTTTTACTAAGATCTATTTTCAATTAACTTTATACACATGTGATTAACTCTATGTGAAGAAAAGAGTTCAACAAATAGTATGAAGAAAAATGAAATCTGTTCCTCAACAGTCAATACAAGAGCTGTTCAAAGTCATGCTTCTCAAGTATCAATTTCAATTCTACAGATTGACTTTTAGGTGCTCTATTAGTTATCACAGGTCAGAGAGAATATATGGTATTTATCCCTTTTGGACTGGCTTATTTCACTAAGTATGATGTTTTCTAGTTTCAACCATTTTGTTGAAAATGACCAGATTTCATTTTTTACTGCTATGCAGTATTCCATGGTGTGCATATCCCATAATTTCTTTATCCAGTCTTCAGTTGATGGGCATTTGGGTTGATTCCATGTCTTATTTATTGTGAACTGAACGGCAGTAAACATAGAGGGTCAGATAACTCTTTCATCCTTTTAACCCAGTTACCTCAGGCCTTTCCTACTCTGTCTCATTCAGCTACAGTCTCTCAGATGCAGTTGTGCAGGAGAAGCGCCCTACAAGAGATTGGGATTGACTTTCTTTCACAGTCTCTGCTTAGGCCTTCCTGACCCTCCTGTTCTGCCTGACCTGCCCAGTGTCTGCCCACTACCCCCATTCCTTGGTCTCCAATGTTAGGAAGCTATGGGGAAGGTAGCATCTGCTCAGTCAGGCCTGGTGCCTGGTCTCAATTGGCCCTCTCTTCCCAGGATGCCTTGTGCTTCATTTCCTGATCTTCTTCACTGCCATTTTGAGAAATCATTGGCAAGAATTGGTCTTGGATGGTTTCTCTTAAACTGCTGTTTTTACCACCAACCAGACCCCCTCCAGGGCCATGTGTTGCAATTCCCTCTTAAATTGTTCTGGACTAGCGAGATTGGGTCTTCTCAACCTTCTGACCCAAAGGATGCCCATTTTCTCACTTGTTAAATTAAGTTTCTCTGCCACCTATTTAAGATTCTACTGTTTAAGGTTGAGGCAAATGTATGCCTTGTTAAAGTCATAGAACTTTCCAATAGCCACTGTACAACTTTAATTCACAAGGACAGGCTTAAGAGGCTATCATGAAGTATAACTGCATGGGAGGAGAAGAGGAAGGGCAGGGGGAAGAGGGCACCAGGGACATGCAACCCTGGCCCACAGCCAACAGATGGCACAAGTACCCCTGGGCCCACAGCATCGCTGCCATAGCCCTGCCTCCCTGGCTCACATGGGCCCTGGAGAGACCATGGTCACCACCTCCAGGGGTTTTCCTGTGCAGGGGACGGGGCACTGACTCTGGTTCCTACTGACCAGTGAGGGTGCCATTGTGACAGGCTGGTAAAATTCTATGATGTCACTGTCACTGTATACTTGCTCTATGTTCTGGAGCAGGTGTAGGATACTAGTTTTCCTAGTGACTGACTAACTGGAATTGGTTTTTGAGGAAAGGGGACAATTTGGCAGCGGTGGTTGGGTTTAGAGTGGAGGTGAGTTGATGATGCTGTCCTCCTGGCCAGTTCATATGGGGAGCATCACTTGCAGGTGGGTGGCACTGGCCTCTCAGCGCTGTTGCTGATGTTATTGCCAACTGAGCTCTAGGAGGTGCCTCCATCTTTCTCCATAGTGTTCCCGTGGGGTGGTGAGAATATACCCTTGGTGGGAGTCTGTACAGGCATTAGGTCCTGGGGTCTGCATTCTGGGAGGCACTGGCCTGAGGGTGGGACCAGGCCTGCTGTGGACACAGTGAAGGTGTGTATCCTTTGGCTAGGAGGAGTGCAGATTACCCTGTCCTCTGGCAGTCAAGGACACTATAGGACAAGCACATGCCTGGCTAGGGAGGAGGTCCTTCCTGTCAACCAAGGGGGATGCACAGGACTGCCCTGCAAGGCTCATCTCAGTCCCCATGCTCTGGACAAGTCACCTTTTGGGAGCCTGGTATGGGTGCTTCCTGCCTGTCTGGAGCGCTGTCCCCTTTGATCAGATGGACAGAGTGAGTGTCCATCAGTGGGGCCACATATGGAAGGTCCCAAACAGAACAGGGGCTCCCAAGAGTCAGGAAGGAGGAACGCAGCTCCTGGGAGCATCAGAGTCTCTGAGGGCACCTCCCTTGCAGATCCCAGGCCTCGGCAGGCACTGTGGGCAGGGCTTGAGGAGCCTCACTGCACAGGCCAGGTTTGCTCTTAACCATTCTAGGTGAGCTGGGGCTGGAACCTCTTAGCAACATCCTTTCTTGATCTCCACAAGCAGTTCCTAAGCCTCTTCCTACCCCCCTCCCCAGCTCAGAGTGGCTCCCCAGAGCGTGGAAACTCCCAGCTTCTGAGTGGGTCAGTGAAGCTGACAAGGGTATCCATGTGGGAAGGTGACAGGCACCGATGGCATTGCTGAGGTTTGCTGTTACCCACGGAGCTTGGGAGCAATGTCTGGGCTCTCCCATGTGGGTCAGGGTTGGATGTTTATCTTACAGCATAGCCATGGAGGCTGTGAAGCCCCAGTTAACCCAGAAGAGAGAAGTGATCATCAGGAAGTATGAGCAGGTATGACCAGGCTGCTGCCTGGAGGAGGGGCCTTGCCTTGCACACCAGGGACCATGGTCACAGGGTCCCAGGCCCTGTGGGGACAGAGGCAGGAGGGGCCACCCTGCTCTTCCCCCTGATTTGTGCCACAGGTCTCTCACTCAGCCCCCTCTGGGTTTCAGGGATGCCGAGGACGGGCACAGGTGGAGCATCCAGAAGAGGAGGACATCAACACCCGCCCATTCATAAACTACCTGGGGATCCTGCAGTGAGTGCCCACACCCACCACAGTGTGGAGCAGGGGCAGTGAGTGACTTCACCCAGCGCAGTGCTCTCGTCTCCCCGGGACAATCTTTTCCTGGGCCCCCATTGCAGTGCAGGCCTGGTGGGCCTGGGGTCCCAGCTGAGTGGCCCTGTGAGGCGCTCAGACCACCCAGGGGCAGAGTCGCATATGGAGCAGGAGCTGGGAACTCACACTGTGGCCTCTACCTCAGCCAGAAGACAGGGGCAGACTGAGGTTACAGCTGCCCTTGGCCAAGCCTGCCTGGTCGTCAGCTGTCTGGAGGTTGGTCATGACCAAGTGATGCCTGGCTGTCTTGGGAGCTGCAGTTCAGCCTGTCACTGCGACTGCAGGGGCTCAGGCCAGAGATGTCCTGGGGAAAGGGGTTTTAGGAGCAGTAGTGGTGTCTTTGGGTGCTGGGGACCCACATGGAGACTTACTGAGAAGGGAGCAGGGCCCTTAGGGTTTTCAGCAGGAGGAAGTTGCCACTGGGCCTGATGCTGGGAGGAGAATTCAGGCCTGGGGTGGAGGAAGCAGGCCCTGGATCTGTTCCACAGTCATCCCAAGACAGGTAGGGGGATAAAAATGGCTGGACTCAGGTGACTAACGAGACTGCATAGTGTGTGGGTGGAGCTGAGCAGGTCCCAGGACCCTGAAGAGTGGAGGAACTGAGGGGCGAGTGAGAAATTGTCGTCAGCTCTGTGCCAGACAGGACAGGGTGGGGAGGTGGGGCAGGTAGGGTCAGTGGCTGGGAAACAGCAAGAACAGTCAGTTCAGGGTGGGTCCTCTGAGGGCTGTGGACACCAGAAGGCTGGACACAGGATTTCACCTTCTTAGCCTGGGAAGGACTCAAGCCAGACCCCGACTCAGGGTGCCTGGTTGCTCTCTGCTGAAGTGCCCCATTCTGCCCAGCCTGGGTAGCCCTCCCTCCTAAGAATGACCTTTCTCAGCACCTACAAGGGGACCCACTCCAAGCCCAGGAAGGGCTTCCCCATGGCATCCCCAGAGTCTTCCTGGGAAACCAGGATCCCCTGCCAGGCCTGCATGCCCCAGAGGAAAACCACCCCTTCCCTTCCCTTTGAAGTGTCCTGAGCTCAGTCTCAGAGCTGAATGGGACTGGGCCAGCCCTTAACCTGCCTGACCAAGGAGGTGGATAGTGCCTGGCCTGGCTCAGCGACTCACAGTTTGGCCTCCCTTGCCTTCCAGAGAGAAGATGCTTCTCAGGGACAGAATCCTGGAGGCCAAGGTGAGAGGCCAACTTCCCTGGGCAGATAGTGCGGGAGGCAGACCTGCAATGGCCTGTGGACTCAGGCAGTGGTCAATGGAACTGCAGGTCCTGAAGGAACTTAGGGGTTGTTCTACCAAACCCACCAGGCCAAGGTCAGACCTGCAGCCCAAGGGTCCAAGTCCACTGGCCACCCTTTTGGCTGAGACCCACCAGAGGCCAGGAGTATCTGGCCTGAGATCAGGATGGTTTGTTGTCTTGATGTCAGGCTGCTAGTGCTCACCTGTCAGTAAGTCTGGGCTTGGGCTCTGATCCTTTTCTGGCTCCTTCCAGTTCATTTATCTCAGGGCTCCCGGGCTGCCTCCAGGGCCCCCTAGGAAGGCCAACAGCTGGGCTTATACCACCCTCTCTGCTTTTTCAGCACAGACATCAGGAGGCTCAACGAGTTGAAAAGTGGTTGAAGATGATAAAGCACTGGACTCAATATCAGAGCAGCAAGAAGGTAGAGGTGTCGTGGGCCTGGGACCTCCTGCTAACTGCAGAGTTAGCCTTTTTGGCCCCTATCTCTGTGTCTGGGCCCTGCCTGCCTCTGGGGCTGCAGATGGCTCCTTGTCCTGATCTCAAGGACACAGGCCTCCCTCAGCTTCCTGCCCATCCATGCCAGGTCACTCTCCTGATAGAGAAGCCGATGACAGGGCTTAGATCACCCTAGGCCCAGGGTAAGGAAGCTATTGGCCCCTCTAGAGATGATCCATTGAAATGCCAGCCCCAGCCCTTAGGCCCGGGTCCTCTATGTCACTGGGGAATGGTGAGGCCCAGGACAGGACACAGTCCAGGCTTCCATGGTCCCAATGCCTCCTAATCCTAGCCCTCCCCAGGCTGACCCTGCAACCTGCTTCACCACAGTCTCTGCTTTGCAATAGATGGAGAGCCGTGTCTACAAAGGCATCCCTCTCCCAGTGCGGGGAAAGGTGTGGTCTCTCCTGTTGGATGTGGACAAAGTGAAGGCAGATAATCCTGGAAAATACCAGGTACAGCTCTTCTGCCCTCAGCCAGGGTGGCTTTCACAGGCCAGACCCTGTCAGGGGCACTGGTGTCTGGAATGGGGGGAAGCAGAGCAGTAGTGGTCCCAGGCCCACACTCAGGATCTCTGGGGCTCCAGCTTTCCTCTATGGATCCTCTCTTCTCAGCATGTTTCAGATGTAGCCAGGTCCTGGGTACCCCCACCCCCACCCCCACCTGCCAGGGGCCCTGCCCCTCTACCCTTGGTCCTGTTCTGTGCAGTTTGTCCAGAGGCAGGCCCAGGGCAGATACTGAGTCCCAGAATAGACAGAGGCCTCCTGCCTTCCCATGCTGGTTTCCTGTGGGAGACACTTACCTGGACCTCCCCTATTCTTCTTTCACCTTCCCTCACCATAGCCCACCTGCCTTCAACTCATGCCACCTTCAACTGGCACCAGTGACCCTCCTGGATAGGGAACAGAAGGAGAATGAGCTTCCTGAAGGATGCATCCTTCAGGCAGCAGCACTACAGGCTTTGGGGTGGCTGTTGGGAAGGTGGGCATCTGTGTCCTGAATCTGACCTCTCCCCGCTGTGGCCTGTCTTACAGCAAATGAAGGAGCAGGGCAAACTATTGTCAGAGCACGTCCACCAGATCGATGCTGACATCAGGAGAACATTCCAGAACCATGTCATGTTCCGGCAGCGTTATGGAGTCAAGTGAGGCTCTTAGACTTGGGAGTCCTGGGGACAGACAGATCCTGCAGCAGGAGACAAGGTCCCTGGGGAGATGGACAAAACCTAAGAGTGACTTGGTGTCCTGTAAGAGACATAGTCAGGCAAGCTTGGGGTCCTGAACACAGGACCCCTCCTAAAGGATCTGCCAGCTCAGGGTTCAGCCAGCTCTGTGTCCTGAGCAGTTATGGCACCAAGACCTACTTGGAGGCAGGGCAGGTGAGGCTGGAACACAGGTGGCCCCAGCAGAGAATGAAGGCAGCAAACACAAAGCTGCCAGGTGTCAAAGGCTCTGCAGAACCTGAGGCCAGGGTCTCCCGGGAGGGCACTGGGACAAGGGATTCCCAGGTGTTAACATGAAAGTAAAGACCCAATGGGTGACAAAGTGCTAGCCTTGGGAAGGGGAGGGAGCAAAAATGTGAGTTCCAGGGTCAGTAGGGGGCAAGGAGCCCAAGCTACAGCCAGGATGATGAAGGCCTGGAGGCTGGGCTCTGAGGTGAGGCTGGTGAACAAGCCTAGAGAGGTAGGGGGAGCCCTGTGCCTTACTTGGGTCCAGTGCAGGTAGAGCCTAGAGAGAGGTTTACAGGACAGGGGGTTTTGTGTTGCATGGGATAGCAAAGAGAACATGGCATGGCTGTGGCAGGACTGGACCATTGCAGAATGTGGCAGGGATGAGTGTGGGCTGCCTGAAAGCTGGACCATGGGTGGGACTTAAGGGGCTGGACCTCAGCACAGTGGGGCCTCCAGGAGTCTGCGTCTCAGAGAACAGAGATATTAGGGCAGTGCAGCACTGATGGTATGGCCAAGGCTGCACCACCTGGTCGGAGAGCTATACAATGTACATGACACTGTTCCACTCTGTGCAATTCCATATTTGTGTTGAAGATGTTGGTTTTACATAGTGTCAATCATTCATGAGTACCAAGAATGGAGAGTCCAAAATTCCATCGCACAGATGCCACAAAGAGAGGAGCCGGCTACTCTCCAGGGTCGCTCATCCAGGCAAGGATTTAGTCCTCCATTCTCTGTGCATGTCATGATTGACATCTAATGGGTAGGTCCCATGTTTATGTACAAGTATAAGATCATCCCCTCACACCTGCAATCTGGCTGCAGTTCCTCCAGCCCCAGTCAGTGCTCATCTCTCCCGGGAGCCATCTTTGAAGAATTTGTTCTGATCAGAAGCCTGAGTTCTCTCTTGGGTGACTGGGGTCACAATCAAGTTATGGTAGACTTGAAACTACACTGTCATTTCAGCCAAGGGAAGATATCAATGTCTCCATTGACTTCAGCACTAAGTATTTTGGTGTCACAAGACCTGAAACTGCAGCCATGCAAGAGGGATCATCCAAAAATATAAGTGTGAATCTGAAACTCACCCCAGAACTCTCCCTCTGAGCACCTACATGAGCAACCCCACCCTCTTCCCCCCCCCGGGGGGGGGGCACGGGTGCTGGGGAGATGCTGAGTCAGCATTTATCACAATGCAGCGTGCACTCATGACAAAGTCTTAGCAATCTGGACCAGCAGGGAATTGGAGGAAGGGTTTTCTCCCAGGAGCTACCCCTACCAAGAATGGCCCTTCCACCACTGACATTAGCGTGGTACTGCCAGGCCCATCTCTGTAATAAGGATAGAAAAAGACATGAAACCATGATTGGAAAGGAAGAAGGAAGCAGCCATCACTTGCAGATGGCATGAATGTGTGGGAATCACAGAGCGCTTACAGACAAAACCAAGATACCCAACGCCATGCATATTTTATGTGAGACAAATTCAAAATGGATTATAGATGCAACACTGAAACAGAACAAAGTTCTGAAAGAAAATGTGGAAAGGGGCTATGCTATGGCACAGTGGGTTGAGCTGCCATCTGTGGTGCTGGAATTCCATATGGGTTCTAATTCAAATCCTGGTTGCCCGCTACCTATCCAGCTCCTTCCTGATGTAGCTGGGAAGGCAGCAGAGGATTGCCCAAGTGCTAAGGCCTCTGCTTTGCATATAAGAGACATGGGGAGAGATCCAGTTTGCTGACTTTGGCCTGGCCCAGCCCAGGCCTTAGGGGCCATTTGGGGAATGAGCCAGCAGATGAAAGATCTCTCTCTTTCTCCTCCTACCCCATAACTTTTCTTATCAAATAAATCTTGAAAAAGAAAAGTGAGGGAAAGAAATGATGTCAGTCATCTGCTGTGATTTAATGAGGTTGTGGATGACTCCCCTAGGACAATCCATGAAATACAGAACTCATTGAATCTTTCTTACAATAGACACCATAAAAAGAAAGAAGTAGAAAGCTTCAAAGTGGGAGATGCTTGTAAAACATCTAGATAATGTAGGGCATGTGTTCAGATTATACAAAGAACAGTAAGAAATCAATAATGATACCTCTGATACCACCCAGGAATAGTAACTGTCATTGTTGTCCTCAGGGATTGCAGAGCCCCTGAGCAAAATGGTGTGGCCAAGCATGCATCTGCTGTGCAGCCCAAATTGTGCAAAGCTGTATATCCCACCAGCTTGGAGGATTAAGTTCAGGAAAAAAAAAGCCCACTTTTCTTCACATTCCCAAGAATGTGGAGGTGACCTCCATGACCTCCAGCAGGAGAACCTGTCCACTAGGACCCTGAATGACACTGAGCAGAACTCAGTGAAAACAGGAAGAAGCCACTGAGGCCCAGAGCGCATGACTGGGTCCCAGGTACACTGTCCAGTGAAGGAATTCAGACTACCAAGGCATCCACTGTGTGCAGTCCCTCACAGGGCCTCTGAGAAAATCTGATCTTTAAGCACAGGAGCCAGAGCAGTGGCTACCGGGGCTGCTGTGACTGGAGAGTTTGACTTTGTAGAGGTTGTGTGGGGACACTGCAGGAGAAGGAGCTGCTCTGTATGCTTTAGCCATGAGCTTGGGAGATTCCCCACTGGTTCAATCACCTGGAATTGAACATTCCAGTGCTTTAATGAAAGAAAATCCACAAGACTGACAGTAAACCTGCCCCTATGCACCGATGTGTACACCAAGGTGTACCCATGATATCTCCCCAAATAAATAGAAATGCACAACTGACCTGAAACCTCACTGAACCTTCACAGAGAATTTATTGGAGCCTCAGTGCTGCTGTCAGGGTCAGTTCCCAAAGTTGAACTAAAGCCTCAGCAGAACACAGCAATGCCCCTCCCCTCTCCTTCCCAGGCAGCAGGCGCTGTTCCATGTCCTTCTGGCTTACTCTGCGTTTGATCATGTGAGTATTCCAGGGTTCCTGCACCAGGCCTCAATCCCAGGCTGTGCATCATGGGGTACCATGTCACAGAGATGCTAGCTGTGGTAGACAGGTTGTGTGGAATGTCACTGAGCTGAAAAGGGGCGGGGGTCAAGGCCCAGGGTCTACCTATTCAGACTATAAGAGCTGAGCAAACGTGACACCTTCCCTGTGAGATCTGCCCTCCCAGGTGAGGTCCATGTCCCAGGTGAGATGGGCTTTTCTGGTGTGACCTTTCCCAGTGTCTGGCTCTTGCAGGAGGCGGGCTACAGGCAGGGTATGAACTGGGTGGCTGCCGTGCTACTGATGTTCTTAGACGAGGATGACGCATTCTGGGCCCTGACACAACTCATGTCGAAGCCCAAGCACGCGATGCACGGTACGTGGCTGGAGGAGGTGGGACTGTTACAACTCCCACCCTTACTTGGCTTCTCTGTGTCTAAGACCATTTCCTTTAAGGGTCCCATGGGAGTCACAACTGAAGGGGGATCCTCTGAACCAAATGAGACCCTTGGTCTCCCATCAGTCAAGGACCCTTCAGCTTCCCTGTGACTACCTTCCACATCTTGCACCCTCAACCCTCAGAGTCCACCTGGTCCTGGTGACTTCTATATCCCTGGTGGCCCTGCAGCCACTTGGTGTGTCCTGCAAATTGGGCATCTATGAGTCTGAAGCTAGAAGGTTTCAGATGGCAGCTTCCTGTATCTTGGTTCTCCCACCCTGACTACTGCCCCCAGCGGATGGTCAGGCTCTACCCAGGCCCCACCAGGGTAACTGGAAGACTCACCACCCAGGGACCCCCTATCAGCACTCACCTCCCTCCCATGGTCCTCTGCCCTGGGTAGGTCAGCTCAGGCTGACCCTGTCACAGTCTTACCTATCCCTGTGTGGTGAGAGCCCCTACAGTCATGTGCTCTGTGGCCCTACCTCCCTGCCACATGGCTGTGACGCGCTCGGGGCTGGGCATCTCAGGATTTTACAAGGCCAATAGAACTAAGCTGGAGCGGCTGCAGCAACACCATGACAACATACTGAAGTGTCGTGTGCCAAAATTAAAAAAACATCTGGTGAGTCAGTAGCCCTTTGCTGTTCTGTGACAGGGATGGTGGTAGAATGGGGGCCCAAAGTGTGCCAGGGTGGCTAAGAAGAAGGGTCTGGCCAGGGCTTTCCTTGGGAATCACAGCTTTGCAGAGGCTCAGGAGTTTCCTTTCCTTTCCCCTGGTGAGGTCATGGGTATCAGGCCACTGTCACCAGCACTATGCAGGTATAAGGGGTGGGTTCAGGTGAAGGCGACACACAAGGCCTGGGCATACAGTCCTTTCCAGTAGACTGTGATGAGAGCCCAGGGAGATTTGCTGACCCTGGGCCCTGAGCTCCTCTGCCCCTTCCTTCAGGACAGCCAGGGAGTGTCTACTGCAGCATACACCCAGAAGTGGTTCCAACAGTGCTTTGTCGATGAGGTAAGCATACAGAGGAGACTCTGTGTCCTGGGGAATTCCTGATTATGGAGCCTGCACTGTGACACAGCAGGTTAAAGCCCTGGCCTGCAGTGCTGGCATCCTTTATGGGTGCCAGTTCAAGTCCCAGCTGCTCCAATTCTATTCCAGCTCTTTGCTAATGCACCTAAGAAAGTATTAGAGGATGGTCCAAGTTCTTGGAGGAAGCTCCTGGCTTCAGATCGGCTCAGCTCCAGCCATTTAGGGCATTTGGAGCCTAAATCAGAGGATGGAAGATGTCTCTCTGTCTCTTCCTCTCTCTCTGTAACTCTTTCAAATGAACAAAATAAATCTAAAAAAAAATGAAAAAAGAAAAATTTCTCAGCATAGGGCCAGCTCTATTGTCCTGAGAGTCCCTATCTTCCATAGAAGGGTTGTACTCACCCTAGCCCCTAGAGGGCCCTGATGGGGCCCTCAGGAGGGGGCACCTCCCATGGCAGAGGGTGAGTCTCAGGGCCAACATGGCAATTAGTCCTGGAGAGCATCCACCCTGGGAAAGCCAGTGAGGAAGAGAGAGCTCCACAAGGTCCCTGAGGTCTCCACACCAGACTCAAGCATAGCTGTAGCTGCTTTGCTTCCAAAAGGCAAGACTGGGCCACCCCTGCTAAGGATGGATCCCTCTGCATATTTCATAGTTGGGTCCTGCTCCTCCCAGAAGGTCCCATGTTGTTCAGAGCAGCCTCGGTGGCCTCCAAGTGAGCATCATTGTGCCAAGCCTTGTTTCCCCTTCTCTTGGTGCATTTAGGATATTTGAGTGGCCTGGGAGACACTCTGAAGTGGTCCCAGTCCTGACTGAGGGTCACCCACTCGCATGCAGAGGTGCAGCTGGGACCCTCCACACTGGGGGCACCACAAGGTGACCCCTACAGGCCCTGTTCACACTGAATGGGCTGAGTCCTCCCACACTGTTGTCTCCACAGGCCCCCTTCTCCCTGGTGCTGCGATTTTTTGATGTTTACATTCTGGAGGGAGAGGCCATGCTAACGGCAATGTCATACACGGCCCTGAAGATCCACAGGAGTAAGTCTGTGGGGCTCTGCTGGGGCAGTGCTAGATACCCTCTTTTCTGCTCCAGAGAGCAGGGCATGGAGGCATGAGACAGCAGGGCAGGCCCAGGGTAGGGGGCTGGTCAGGGGATGTAGAAACCTCCCAGGAACCCCCAGTGCATCACCCATCTTGGGTACGAATGTGTATAGCCCATTCCTAGTCCAGCCTCCCATGGAATGTGGCCTCCTATGTAGGGTTCACCCTATGGGATGGCCCTGGAAGCACCAAACACAAGCCAGGCTGTGGGACTACCCCATCCCTGTGGCCCCTCCTGACCTGATATCTCTCTCCATGCCTAGGATACCTTCTAAAGTGCAGTGGGAACAGCCTGCATGAGTATCTGCAGGACGGGTTGCGCCGCACCTGGGATATGCGGGATGATGCAGTGCTGAGACGGCTCCAGGCCACCAAGGAAGAACTGGTGAAGTTCAAGTGTCTACTGCCTCCTTCAGGTTTGCTCCAGTGCACAGTGCCCTCCCCTTTCTTACTCAGGGAAAGTCAGTGGCGGGGGTGACAGGAACCAGCAGCCCTGCTTGAGCCTCCCTCCTCCTTCTCCTCTGTGGCTTTAAGCAGACGTGGCTGGGAGGGCCTCAAGGCAGCTGCCGTACCACCAGCTTCCTGAACATTCCTCGGAGGTTTCCACATCACTCCATAGGCTTCCACCACAGTCATGAGGGTTGGGCTGTGGGTGTGTCCAGAAAGATCCTGCCCAGGAAGTCAAGCCCAAGACTTTGGCTCTCCTGTTCCCTGGGGTGGAGGCTGGGACCTCTCTTGAGAATTACAGCCCAAGGCAGGCATAACCCAGTGGTCCCAGGAGCTGCTTGCCCTGTCCTGTCCTAGCTGATCTGAGGCAGGGGCCAAACACCTGTCAGTTATACTTTTCCCTCAGATGGGACAGTCAGAGGACAGCAAGGGTGCATCAGCCTGCAGCCACTGTCTGGGACCTCAGGCCACACCGGTGGGGCAGGGACATGTTGGGAGATGCCACTGAGCCCTTGGCCACACCTTCCCCACCTCCATCAGAGATCACCTGGAAGTCATTCGCAGGAGTCCTGAGTCAATCAGTAGGACTGGAGGGAGGAGGCAGAGGCTTCAGGCTCCTATCAGAATCCAGAATCCAGCTTAGAGCAGGAAGGGTTCAGTACTGGCCTGGAAAAGGCTACCCTGGGGGCATAAGTGTCCACAGGGCTGGGTCCACACCCACACCGTGCCCAGCCCTGCAGAAAGGCCCCCATCATTGTCCATTTCTGATGGCATTATTAAGAAGAGACACCAGGTCATTCACAAGGAACAGAAGTTGATCCCCACCATCCTAGAGTCAAGGCGGGGAACACACTCAGTGTCTGCTGAGGGCCTGACTAGATTCTAAGATGGTGCCGTCCCCTGTGTCCTCCATGGTGGAAGGTGAGAGGAGCAGGGCAGAAGGCAGCAGGGTCCTTCCCCATCCCCTGGAAGGGTACTCCCCCTCCAGTGTAAGAGTCCTCCTCTCTCCCAACAGTTCCCCTCTTAGTACCACCACCTTAGGGGGTGAACACCCCCAGACCACAGACATTCACACATTCACATTCCCCATGGGGTAGTAACAAATGAGTTAGGTGATGCTAATGCCCCTGGGGTCCTAAGTTGAGGACAGAGAAAGGCAGAAAGCCTAGAGCTGGCCCATCCCTTCAGGGCCATCCTAGGACAGCAGGAGAGCCCCCAGTAGCTCCCATCTGGGATCAGCAACCTTGGATGCCGTCCTCAATGTCAGCGTGGGGTAGCCAGGCAGAGCCTTGAGGGCTCCAGGGATCCAGGTCTGGGTGGCTCAGTCCGTGAGTGCCAGGGCTGTGGGGAGAAGCTGAGCACATCTGCTTTCTTTTCAGCAAAACAAGAGGAAATGCCCAGCATGCCCCTGGGCCTGGAACTCGCATCCCTGGTTCCCGGGCCTCAGCCCACATGTCGGAGGCGCAGGATGGGCTGGCGACAGAACCGGGTTGGATGTGCTGTTCCAGTTGAGTTGCAGGCACCACACACGCAAGTGGCAGCAGGTTCACGGAATAACCCTGACCGCTTTATGGTGGCTTCAGGTCCAGGGGACACCAAAAGCATCTCCCAAGGGGCTTTTGTCTTCACCCCAGTGTTGCCCCTGAATGCTGGAGAGTGTGGGCCCTCACAGCCTGAAATCAAAAAGGAACTATTGTGCCCTCCCAAACCTGCACAGCAGGGCCCAAGGTCTGGCAGAGAAGCCTGGTCCCAGGCATGCTCTGCAGCTCGCCGCCGTCAACAGTCTGGTGGCAGAGAGTTCACCGCTCTGGAGTCCAAAAAGAAGGCTGATGAGCAGTGCAGTCCTAGGCAGCCCTGCAATAGCTCCGTCAAGGTCCTCAGGATTCACATCTCTGGTCTGCCTCACCCTGATCTGGGACAGTACACGGACCATGCAAGGCCTGGCAGGATGGGCGTCCCTCCATAATGTGGCCCTCAGGGACCTGCAGACTACTGGCCCCCAAACGGCATCACCCTTCAGGGATCCTGCTCTAAAAATACTTCCAGATCTGTCCTGGTGCCATTGGAACTGAGTTCCCCCAGCCCACTGCTGACCCAGCACTCGGGCTGTAGACTCGCACCCAGAACTGTAGCCCCTCAGCCCATGCCTCTCATGGTCATGGACAATCACCTACAGAGGCCTTCAGGAGCCAGGACAGGGCCACGTCATTCCCCCAAGTCCCTGTAAACCCTACTAGCCTCCGGGCCTCCTCCTACACAGGACAGCAGGGTGTGTGGTCTGGGGAGGGAGGAAGAGCCCTCATGACCCAGCCCATGCTGATCAGCAGCAGGCTCAACTTTTGCACACAACCTCCTTGTGTCCCAGTGCTCTCCTCAGAAACATAGGTGCCTCTGCCTAAGAGACACAAGTTCTGAGAATGCCAAGATTTTTCTATTTTTCACATAAAGTTGTTCATACCCTGATAGCACACTGGTTTGCATTTCTTCTAGGCTGCAAATGAATATCAGGGAAACAGAGGTGTTGGGCTTTATCTCAATGACTAGAGGACAAAGACAGTGACATTTCCTGTGGGAGTTGTGCCTGTGGCCAGCCCCATGGATGCAAGTGGGGACAATGGAAAGCACCTTCCTGGGACCCATAGGATAAAGTGCATGCCAAGCAGCCAGTGCGTCTCCAGGTCTGTGGCAACTCAAGTCACTGGGAAAGGGAGAACAGGGTGCAGTGGCACCAAGGTGTGGATTCTCCCAAGCACCCCAGGGAAGTCCATTGTGCACCTAAATATGAGACCCCTCCCAGATCTGGAGGGATACTTCTGAGGGGCAAATGCCCAGCTGCCAATTTAAGAGAACTCTGGCTCCAGTCCTCTTGTGCCCATCTAGAAATGGACTTGAACATGGACAGACGCAGGGAGCAGGAAGAGGAAGTCTTGGTGTGAAGGGCGGGAACCTTGAGGGGGATGGTGGAGCACTTCCTTGGGTGTTATTCATTGGCTCCTCTAAAACATCAACTGGATTCTGTGATTCAAAAAGGGCTGGAGGCAGCATTGTGTAGAGCCACTTAAGATGATACATGTGATGCTGGCAACCCCTGTGAACAGCAGTTCAAGTCTTGGCTGCTCAGCTTCCAATCCAGCTCCTTACTAATGCACCCAGGAAAGCAATGGAATATGGCCCAAGTGCTTGGGACCCTGCCTTCCACACGGGAGACTCAGATGGAATTATAGGCTCCTGGCTTCAGCCTGATCCATACCCTGGCTTTGTGGTCATTTGGAGAGTGAGCCAGCAGATAGAAGATCTGTCTATCCCCTTCTCTCTATAACTGCCTTTCCAACAAATCTTTAAAAAAATTAATAACCCCCCTTGGGCACACGCCATGTGGGCTGGCACAACCTTGCTGCTCAGAATGCATGAGTGTCAGCACCCACATCACCAGGAGTTTGTGAGACAGGCAACATTGTGTCCTCACTTGGTAGCTTAGGCCAGTTGGAGGGCACAAAAGAACCCTCTTGATAGGTCCGTGGGGGTCAGTAGCATCCGACACCACAGGTCAGGAAGAGCAAGGACAGAGGGGCCCTCCATCTGTAGACGCAGTAATGAAGCTGTTCAGCTCAGAGCCTAGGAAGAAGCCACTGTGGGCCTACGGGAATTACTAGAACGCTGGATCCAGCCCTACCTGAAATTGTCCCTTCCCTTGATCATTGATATACACCACAGAGCTGTTCCACCATCTCCCTTAAACTTGCATTTTGTAGTATGTGCAAGCCCATTTTCTACATAAAGCCATATCTAAAAGTGCCATTTCACCAATGCTGCAATATGTCATTTGAGAAGGTCAGCACCATATGATGCTCCTGTGAGCCACAGGAGAACAACTTCCATGTCCTTGCCCTTCATGGCAAGTCCTGCTCTCCAGTGCCAGAAGGTCAGAATAGGGGAAGGCCCAGGCCCAGGGTGAGTGCTGGGAGTTCTCAGACTGTGGGATTCACCCAAGGGCCCCGGGTTGGGAAGAGCACTGGAGGGAAGTGAGCATCGGAGAAATGCAGATGGAGCAAGAGACAGTGAGCATCAGAGACACACAGAGATGGAGTAGGAGACAGAGACCAAGACTGAGACAGAGACGGCATCAGAGGTACACATGGAGACAGAGACAAAAAGAGAGTGAAGAGTTCGGGATAGGGGCCAGCAATGTGGTGTAGTGAGTAAAGTTACCACTTGAAGCACTGGCATCCTCCATGGGCACTGGTTTGAGTCCCTGCTGCTCCATTTCCAATCCAGCTCCCTGCTAATGTGCCTGGGAAAGCAGTAGAGGAGGTCCCAAGTATTTGGACCCTCACCCACGTGGGAGACCTAGAAGAATCTCCTGGCTCCTGGCTTCTAACTTTAGCCTGGCCCAGACCTGGCTATTTTGGCCATTTAAGGAGTGAACCAACAAATGGAAGATCTCCTCTCCTCTCCTCACCTCTCTTCCCCCATCCCCTCCCCATCCCTCTCCTCCCCCTCTCTCTTTTCTCTCCCTCTCTTTCTATCTCTCCCTCTGTGCCTCTCTCTTTCTGTAACTTTGCCTTTCAAATAAGAGTCCTGGATAGATTCAGACTTAAGGCCCCTAAAATTATTTTAGTTTTCATTCAATTTAAAAGTAAAACAAATAAAACAGCAAGCAAATATAAAGTGAGTTGGATTATAGTGATTTGTGACCCACACAGGCACAAAATTCAATCTTGCTTTCTGATGGGACAGGAGGTCCAGGGTGGCTGCATTGCCTGGGCCACCCTGGCTGATAGTGCTGGTGTTGGGACACCAAGTCCCAGAAGGATGAGGCTAAGCCCAGACCATGCAGCTCAGGGAGAGCAGGGCCCCATCTGAAGTCTCCCCAAAGAAAGCAGAGCCCTGAATCTGGCCAGTCCCAGAGCCCTGCCCTGTCTAAGCCTCCTCCCCACAGGCACCATGATGCCAATGCCAGGAGCCCCACTAGGGCAGCCCTCCTGGAAATGTGCTTGGCTTCCTGGCAGTCACATGGCCTCTGTCTCCAAAGGTTCAGTGACCTCCCAGCCTCCCATCTCTCTGCAGCAGCCCCACATGCTGAGTGACAGGTGTAGTTTTGATCTTGTCACTGGCCCAGGCCTGCTCACAAACATCCAGCACTCATCAGTCCCCTCCCAGTATGGGTAAGCCACTGTGGCTGTAGCGCTTGCCTTTCCAGTCTTGCTGAGGGCTCCCAGGCACACACGCCTCATGCTCCCTTCCTCCTGCCTGGGTCTCACCTGTTGTCCTGGGCAAGCCCCTACCCCAGCCACACATCTCTGGCCTATGCTCAGGCTACCAGGCTGGGGCAAACAGGCAATCCCCTGTACCCAAGACTTCCCTACCCCATTCACCATCACAACTTCAGGAGCCACTCTCACTGGTCAATATCAGCCCAGAGGACTGCCAAGCCCACACAGTTAAGAGCAGCAGGGCCAGTGTGTCTGGTGGAAGGAGTCGCCATCAGGGGTGGTTTCCTCCAGAAACTTGGCCAGTGAACCATTAGAGGCTTGCTGCAGTGGGGACAAGAGAGGGTGCTGTGCTATGTTTCGTGTTCCCTGGGTATGTGGTGTGTACACAGTTGGGTACAGGGCAGAAGAATCCTGAAGCGGTCCCTGCTTTGCCTCTTCCTGGTACCTCAGCATCCTGAGGGGTGCCCTAGAAATAACCCACATCCAGTCACCACACTACTTGCCCCTGGGAGGAAGTGGACCACCAATGGGTCCAGAGCACATCCCTGAGCAGCCAAGGGAACAGCCATCCTACCACTGCCAGGCTAAGCAAGGAAGTCTTGCCCTGCTTCCCATGACCTCACCACAGGGCAAGGTACTTCCAGCTACTTCCCTGGATTGAGAACAGGACTAGGATTGCAAGTGTCCTCCTTTGCCCCTGACGACAAGGCTAAACTCACATTGCTACCCAAAGGAGAGCTCTCAGCTGAACACCAGGAAGAAGACTGGGGTCTAAATGGCCACACTCTAGTCCTTTATGGCCACACTGTAACCCGACTTAGCACTCAGGCTCTCTTGCCTCTGTCCCAGTGTGAAAAGGCAGAAGCCCCTCCCATGGCCATTGTGCTGGAGTATCCTGGAGACAGACCACCTGCTGAGGGAATCCACTTCTCCATTCTCCCTTAATCTAGAAACCAGTTCGGGTGGGACCCCTACATCTTCCAGCCTTCCCTAAGCCAAGGCTTTCTTGCCCTGTGACCGGCTCCAGAGCCAGGACACAAGGATGGGAAGTCATAACACAAGGGACAGCGCTGTCCAGTGACATGGCAGAACTAGCCAGAAAGTTACACAGGAACAAACAAGCTGGGAGACTTTCTCAATTTCTTTCTCTTGGCAGCCCTTCACTGTAACCCCACCTCCTTACATGCCAATCCAGTACTCCCACTTTCCCATGATGCACCTGCATCTCATCTGGGACTGGAAGCAGGAGACTGCACTTGGAAGTGCCATAAAAGTTCAAGAAAATCTCAGGCATACTAAACCCCTCCCGAACTCCACCCCAACTGAATATTAAATTAGGGCATCAGCCCGACCCCATAAATGGAACTGTTACCAGCTCTTTCTTGCTTTTTCCTATGCTATTTCCTCATAGCCTTCTCTCAACCCTCTCCTCATGGGATTACCCCCACTCATACTCACTCTTAGTTTCAATAAATCCTGCTCTCATTTATGCACCTTATGACTCTGCTTTTAATTCTTATCTCATGTGGGAACAAGAGCCAGGGATAGAAACTGGCAAACATATTCCTCTAAAATAAGGACCACGGTCCTGCCTGCCACATGGCCTCCCACATCTTAATCTCACTGGACCCACAGGTCAGTTTCTGAGTCTGGATCAAGGCTGACCTTCCTGGGTGAACTGTCACACCATCCCCTCAGAGATGGAGGCCCTCATCTGGCTTTTGAATCCAGATCTTCCAGTATCACCCCCAGGCTCCCAACTGCCATGTTGACTCAATCCCCACCCAGGACAGCCTCCTCTCCAGGTACCCAGGCACTGACAGAGACACCACCAGGCCCTGATGCCCATCTTCAGCCATACCTGGAGCAGGTAGGACACAGAGCAAACCACACCACAAGACAGCCACAAATGACAACTCAGGCAGAGGCCAGGAGAGACCTTTCCAAAGACATCACAGTGGCCACAGAGTAAGGAAATGTCATTGCTCCACAGCACTCCTTGGAGGCAATGGGCCTTTCCAACCACTGAGGAACCCTGTGGGCCCAAAAGGAGAGCTGGAATTTCAACCAAATCAAAGACCAGAAGGGAACCCAGCAGGTGCTGGTGTGGAAGGGGAGGAAAGGCGTCCTTGGGCACTGTGGGCACAGCTGTTGTGAACAACAGCAAAGCAGGTCTTCAGAACCACAGCCCATTTCACCTACATCTTCAATCCTAGGCCTGTGTCTAAAAGGACCAGAAGCAACTGAAGAGG